TGTCTTCCCTCCTAGGTGCCATCTCAGATACGACATCCTCCATGGTCGGGGAGGCCTCTGGGATCTGGCAGGGACCATCTGGGTTTTTTGTCTCGTTCTGCAACAGAGAGCGAGTCGTTTGTGGGCAACATCTGGAGATATTTTGTTTAATCAGGTTTTTTACTGCTCTTAATGGCTTTGGGTATTAACACTATCTCTGCTACTTCTGTTCTCTGACAGAGGCATGCAGAAGTTGAGTCTCCCGAGAGTCAACTAAACCATATTATCAGCTCCCTCCAGGAGTAGCTGGGTGAAACTTAATGGTCCATGAGATACAAAAAGTCAGTAGAAGTGATGTAATATCCCTTTCTAGTCTTAAACCCAGTGAAATGGAGAAAATTCTGCTTCTAAAGGAAACGGCAGATGAGCAGTTGCCAGGACCTCCTACCAGGCTGCTTCTCCAGCTGTGTCCATTGGGAGCAGTTCCCTTTTTGCAGTATGGTTTGCATATTCTCAGCAGAATTGCACCATTTTCACTCCTGGAGACCAAACGTTCATTCCCATCCCTCTGTGCAGCCCATCCTCCTTCCTCAAATGCCAAGACTGTTTCAGCACCTCTTTGTGGTGACCATTTCTGAGAGAAACTTTTTGTTTTTTTTTTCTGCTTTTACCAAAATCCAAATGAAATATCTGTTATCTCTGGCATCTGCCTTTCGCATGGATCAGATCAAACCTCCAGTTCCAAAATATCTCTGGCCCTCCTAAATGCAGATACCACTCTTGTGCATCTATTCTCTCTGTGTCTGGTTGAGAGCTTTAGCCAAAAAAAGTCTACCAGGAATTTTTATAGACTTGAAACATCTCTTCTGCTTTCCTATTCTCCAGAGAAAATGTTCAATTTTAAGTTGCAGGCATGTATTTTTCTTTTTCTTGGAAGCATTTGCAAGGGTGGCCAGAGCTGCCTCTCTTCAGCTGCCAAGTAGGTGTCCTATCCTGTGTGTGCTTTCTGTAAAATTAGTGTTTCTTCTCTCTAAGTGCTTTACCTTTAATATTTCCCTATGAAAAGAGAAACTTGAGATAAACTGTAGAACTAGAAATCCTAGAGTCTGGGAATTTTAGGCATGAGTGAAGTATGTGTGCTTTTTCCTCATCTGAATTCAAGGACACACCACCACAATGGCTATCTTTCCATGCAAGGAGAGGGGATGCCTTCTCCTGCTTCTTATACCACATCAGCCACTTTAAAACTAACATACAAAGCTATTTTGATTTTCACTGTGAGTTAGAAGTGTTTTTAGAACAGTCTGAGAAGCTCTCACCTCACCGGGCTGCACCAGGCACTTGTGGAGTTGGGTCCAAAGAACAGATACCTGTTGCTGGGTTGTCTTTCCAGCATAACCAGGTGACAATAAAGTTAATGCCCATGTTTCTACCTGATTTTATTTGTGGAATGGCACTAGGGAGCCTCAGTGAGAGATCCTGTGCCTGGAGAAGGAGGGATATGGGATGTCCGTGGTGCCTGGTGCAGCATGCACTGGGAACGTCCCATCCAGAAGTCCCAACCTGATCAATTCTACAAGACTGATCAAGGTGAATATGGCAGTAGTTGCCATGGTTATCAATCACTATGAACTATATTTTCCAAGGGCTTGTTTAGAGGAAAACTTTTCTGTATTTAGTTACAAATTCATTGTAAGATAATAGCATAGTTGCAGCCCAGAATAAATGTTCTCTGTCCTTCTTTCCCTTTGTGCAGACCAGAGGCCAAGAATAGCAAACTGTCACAAATGTCTGCGTTTAGATCCAAGTGAGCACTCCACACTCATGCTCACATCCTTGGATATGCAGACATTTGTGCTGTTGCGTTTCACCCAGCTTCCCACCTGCAGGAATGAGCTTCAGAGGCTGAACTGTCCAAATTCGTCTGCTAGAGCTAATTACCAGATGGACTGCAACTCTCTTGTGCAGGAAAAGCCAGGCTGTGGCCATCTAGCTGTTAACAGGTAGTTGGCACGAGGCTTGGAGAGTGGGATGTTATCACCAGCCAACTCACCAGAAGAGTTCAACTTCTTGGACATTTCTTTCCAGCATGATCTTTATCCCTTTCATGTCTCTTAATCTTTTTAGAAAAGCGTCAGTCAGAGGCTAGTGGCTACTGAAGAACAGGTAAAGTCCCTCCCCACCAGAAGAACAAAAAGAGTTTAAAATATTTGCTTCATCTAGTTAAGTTTTACAATTCTTAATAGTATATTATTAGGATAATGCAGAGCAATCAAATGAGACACAATTGTTAATAAATTTGGTGGGTTTTTTAAATCAAAGCAAATATAAGGGAATTCCAGGGATCTCTTAGTGTATTAAATAACTGGCAAGTAACTTCTTTTTACTTTTGCTGGGTAAATTCATTTGGAACATTTGTAATTTAAAAGAGTCCTGAGATTTAAATAATTTTGCAGCCACTGCTTTTACATTATGCTGAGTTCACTCCCAGAAAGGTGGCTGCAGTTATCACTCCTTTGATTGACATAACAGTTTCTTTGTCATTCTTTGGGTGACAACCCTCAGCAAGTCTTTTTTTTTTTTTTTTTTTTCCAGATTATCTGCCTTGTCTATGGCCCCTCTTAGTCTGAAAGCACAAAGCAAGCTAGGGGTCTTTCCAAACTTACTAATGATAAAGACTGTTCGTTCTCCCAGTAGTCTTTGGTGCAGTATGTTTCAAACGCTGGATTGATGAGTGTCTCAGAACAGTGTAGGAGGGCTGCCTGAGCATGACTGAGCCACAGAGTTAGGAAAAAAAAAAGGTAAAAAATAATAGATTCATTTCAAATAGAAAACTCAAGGAAGCCATGGCTTGCCTAAAACAAAACAGAACAAGACAGCTAAGTTTATTGGCTGGATTATTAATTGTACTGGATTGTTCAGCTGCCCTGAGAATGTCACTTTAATCATTCGGTGAGTCTGAAGCCTGGGTCTCCAGAGATCATGTTCTGATCTCTCACATATGGTGCATTGCACTGTTCATTAGACCCACTGGTCCAGTCACATGGAAATGATGTTCAGACTTTTTCTATCTGTATCTGCTACTTTTCTTCCTGAATGTGTCGGTCTCATGATGAGGGCAGTGACTCCAGCTGATACAGACACAATTGCTGATTGCGAACAGACACTGCCATGAAAATAAAGATAAGAGGGTTTTATTTCTGTCAGGGTTTGGGCTTTGCAAGAAGCCCCTGCCCTGAGAAATACAAATTCTGTTGGGGATGGAGGATGCTGAGGTATGTGAGATCATGGGTGCTGAGCAGTGAAAAGAGGATGGGTGAGTTTGGGGACAAACTGCTGGGCTGGGCTGCCCAAAGCCTGGGCTTAACTCCAAGAGGAAGAATTCTCACCAGTGTCATGAGATTCAGTTCTCAGCTCTCGGCACTCTGTGCCATTTCAAAAATCTGGCTGCTTCTTTTTGGTGGTGAGATGGGAGCAGGGACTTGCTTTGCACAGTGGGAAGAAGGATTTCTTGCTCTTCTCTCTGAATATTTGATGCTAGCAGTAGATGTGAGAAACAAGGTAATCTTATCCAAGATGGCTGTAAGCCAGTTGGGGATGACTTCTGGTCCCCACTGGAGGGACAGAGCTTGGATGGAGCCCAGCTAAGGATGCACTAAGCTCATGTTTAGGAGCCTGTCTTCAGCCACACATGCAGAAGGTTCTGTACTGGTGGCTACCAGCAGAAACCAGGTCAAGGGATTCCCAAGCAGCACAGAGTGCTTGCCAGGGGACCCCAAAATGTCATATCCACTTCTCACCCTGCACTCCTTTGGGGGGGGGCTGTCGAGTGATGTGTGAAGTGTTGAGTCAGTATAAATGTCACAGCCAAAGGTCTTCAGTGTCGGAGTGACAACAGGAAGAGACACTAGTGCCAGGAGTTCTGACACAGGGAAAATGCTGTCACTGCCACCACCTCCAGCTTGGAGATATATTGATGGTAACTTGGGATGTGCCATAAACAGGGCTGATATTAAATGAGTCTGACTGTCTCAGGGGCTAAGTTTTACAACCCAAAGTGTGAACTCTCTCTGCGTCACTGACTTCCTGAGGCATTTTTCCAGCAGCTCCCACAATCTCATTAGAGCGCTCTCCCGAGAAGGGCTCTGACCCGAGAGAGCCCTCCCTGTGCAGCACAGCGCCAGCTGCTGAGATCAGGCACAAATATCTGCCAGGGAACCCAGCGAGCACTTCTCATGGAGACTTCCCAGGCCACCACCACTACCTCACTGACCCCACAGCCTTTCCCCCCGTGGCTTTGTGAGGAAACCAGAAATTGCCACGCAGGTGTCCCCAGGTACCAACACACCCCTGGTGTCAGAGGCTTTGATCTCAGTGCCAGCAGGTCATGCCCCAGGACAAACCTCCCTGCAGCTGGGTTAAGATTGCACTGAACCTAGGTGAACCTTTGCTGAGATGTCCTCTCAGCATGGTCTCAGCTTCTGAGGTCAAACCCATGGTTTCCTCCTGGTGTCATTAGCTGCAAAGCTGCTGTCATGAAAATGCTTTCCTTCTGCTCCTTGAATGGAGCTCCTTGAATCTGGGGCTGCAGTAGCAAGCTCTAACTGCAGCATTTCTTCCCATAATGAAACAGCTCCACAGGCCAGACAGCTGCCATCCCAAGGAGGCAGGGCTTGGTGAGCTACCATGCTTTGGTGCTGAGGGGTTCCCTTGTTCAGATAACACATTTTATCCCAGAAGCAGCAAAATCTTGAGCAGAGCCCTGGGAATGCTGAATTCACTCTTCTGTGTCACTTCTGCCTATCGAAGGTAAATCAGATCTGTGGAGATCAAGGCCAGAGCAGGCTATGGCCACAAGCTCTGTTCTTCACAGGTCGCATTCACCAATCCCCAGGCCTTAGGAAAAATGATCTAGTCCAGAGAGCCTGCAGCTTATCTCGGGGAAAAGGTTTATTTTGGTGACTTCCCTGAGAAACCTCCTTGCTCTTCTGCCCTCACGACCTTTCTCTCTGCTCCTCCAGTCTGCTCGCAGTTCTCCAAGGGCGTCTATGCTATCTTTGGATTTTATGAGAGGAGGACCGTCAACATGCTCACGTCTTTCTGCGGGGCTCTTCATGTCTGCTTCATAACGCCAAGCTTCCCCGTTGAAACATCCAACCAGTTTGTTCTCCAGCTTCGCCCAGAGCTCCAGGACGCCCTCATCAGTGTCATCGAGCACTACAGCTGGCAGAAGTTTGTGTACATTTATGATGCTGACCGGGGTAAGTCACAAGTACATGGGAAGGGTTACCAGGCAATTAAACATAGTGGTCTAGATGAAGTCGTTGCCTCAAGAAGCCCTCTTAGTGTGGGCTGCTGGAGGCTGAGAAGGTGGCTAAAGGAAGGGTCACCCTATGCCTTCCCTGTTCTCTGTTCCTTTTCTAAATATCTGTTGTGGCTGAAGGTGAGCATTGATCTCCATGAAGCGCTAGCCTGACCCAGTTTGTTCATAGGTCAGGTCTGAACCCCGTCCACATGAGGGAAATATTTAATGTGTAAGCATTTTGAGTCTCAAATCAAAACTGTTTATACTGAATAGGTCCCATACTGAATAAGTCTGTCATATTCAAGGCCACCGAGTCCCACGTTTGTAAACATGAACCTACAGCTGCTGAGGTCTCACCTGAACCCACATCCAGTTGTGATACATGTGTGTGTGTTTCTGGCAGGTAGCTTGGAAAACTCCAAGTTTCCTGTGGTAGTGTGTGTTAGTTGCCTATGTAAAATAACAAAAGCCTTTGTTGGGTTCTTGGAAGATATTATCTGACTTTCTAAACCATGAACAGGGCTAGTGAGCTCATTACACTGTGATTCAGTTTCCCTAGCTCTCAGATGCCTTTAAAGTTCCAGGCTTAGAGGCTGAGAGCAAAACAGACTTGTGGAGATCAATGCAGATGTAAGGGTGTTTCACAGCTCTGTCCTGGAAGTTATCATTATCCCTTGCAGGGGCAGAATGACCTTAAGAGACAAGGAGAAAGTATAAAAGCATCCCACCCTGCTTTCTGTTGTCACGAGGCATGAGCACACTGAATATCCAAAAAGGACTGCAGTAGGCAGGATTGTCTAGCAGGGCTCCAGAGCAGTGCTGACTATGTGTATCTCCTCTGGAATGCTGTGCATGTAATTTAGGCAAGATCCTTATAAAAAATAATTAAGTTTTCTGATGAGATGCTGCTGAGAGAGACAAGGATGCTAAACATGATTGTGCATTTTTATGGCTGAAGGTGTCCCTAACCCTAAAAGTATACAGCCTAAACAGATCAAAGAGGAGAAGGGAACTATGGCCCAGAGAAATCAAGTGATTTGGGTAGTGACAGGCAAGAAGACAGGGATTACAGCTCTTATCTGAATCCCACAGCAGTGCCTGATCAACAAAACTGATCTGCTGATTACAAAGGAAAACTAGGCCTGGAATCATCCTACTTTCTTGTGCTAGGACAGAAAAAGCAGGAGTCATTAATTCTAGCCCAGCTGTGTTTGGGTTAGATGCTAGACTATTAGCTGCTCTCTGTAGTTCTGCTGCACTCTTGCGACGCTGTATCCAGCCTGGCTTGAGGCAGCTACGCAGGCTGTTGGAAGGATGTAAAGATGCCTTTGCACAACTAAAGCCTGGTTCTCCCTCTGCTGTCCTCTTCCCCCTCTCTTCCCATCATAGGGTTGTCAGTCCTACAGAAAGTGCTGGACACTGCAGCTGAGAAGAACTGGCAGGTGACCGCTGTCAACATCCTGACAACAACAGAAGAGGGCTACCGCATGCTCTTCCAGGAGCTGGAGAAGAAGAAGGAAAGGCTGGTGGTGGTGGACTGTGAATCCGAGCGGCTGAACATCATCCTTAGCAAGGTTGTGTTGGTGCAGATCTTCTGGGAGGGGTCTTGCATGCAGGATGGGAAGGGTTGTTTTTCCTGGAGAAGTTCTCCCTGTTCTTGTCTAATCCATGTCTCATTGTGGCAATCACTGAACGTGGTGTGTGTGCCTTGCAGCAGGCTGCCAAGCTTGCAGATATTTCTCTGTTCTGTTATTGTGGAAATTGTAAAGCCATATAAACACTAGGAGCTGTCATGTATTCGTGCTGAGTGAGCTCTGCTGCTCCATCTTCCCTACTTGTTTGACTCCTCTGCTGAGACCTTTACACCCCCTTACTTCCCAACGAGTTTGCTTTGTGCTAATTCCTCCAAGCAGCATGCACAAGACATGGCACTTCCTTATTCTGTTGAGTTTTCCTCTGGTTTTCCCACCTCCTGTGAGTTAGGGTGGAGGTGTGAATCTGCCAGACTCCTGGTCCTCCAGCCTCCATGTGCTGTACCAAATTCTCACAACCAGTGCCAGCAGGACAGAGATGGAGAGGCTTTATGGTACATCTGTAGTGCCTTCATGAGCACTGTCTCCAGATCAGGCTAGAGCTCACCATCCTCCCGGGGCATCCACACTGTAGCAGGATCTGATGCTTCCAGTTCCGCTCATGCCTTGCAGTGAGAGAGAAACGTTCATTCACAGTCATCTCCTGGCTGTTTTGTCAGCTTATGGCCACAAGGCAGATGGGATATGCAATAGAGGACTCAGCAGCTAGGTAGTGTGTCTTGCCTTACTCATCCTCAGCCTAGATAGGTCACCCACTAGTGCAGACCCAAATTTTCCCCATCCTCTTTCCTCTATGCTTGCCTTAATGCTTTCCCTAAGTCCCTTCTGTGGACCGGAGACCAATGCAAGCCCATGGACAGGTCTCAGTCAACACTTGTGTCCTCTCTTCAACTCCAGCCACAGTGCATTTCCCTCTCACAACTACAGCCAAGGCTTTCCCCACAGCTGGGAATCTCATCCCACATGGCTTAGAACGGGCCCGGCAGTGCCACGCAGCCAGTGCTCTGTGACTCCTGCTATCGTACTCCTCATAACCAGCTCACGCTTACGTCGTGCTTCACATGTCTCCTTGTCTAAGCTACCTGTCATCTCCCGTCTCACACTTCAGCTGCTCGCTGTCTGGGGCCAGGACTGCCATTTCACCAGCTGCACGGCTCAGCGACGAGCACAATCCATCCTGGTTGGATGTCTCTGGGTGCTACTCTATTATATATAATAATGAAGCAGGTAGCAGGTTTTAACCTCAAAATAAAGGTCATGCTCGTGAAGGAGAGACCAGATTAGTCTGGAGGGTAAAGTCTTCTCTCTGACCGTGGAGTAGTTGCAGGTGAACAAAATTTTTGGCAGGAACCAGGCAGTGAATTTGCCTTTTCTTCAGGCTTTCCTATAGGTTATATCAGATTTCTAGGGTTAATGATGTTGGGTTTTTTAAGCCTGTTTTTTCTAACAGAAAGTTAAGTTCTGTAGTCAAATACTATCCTGTTTTCCTAATATGAACAGGAAAATAAGTCTTTCTTTAAAACTTCTTCACATAACTGGAGCAAAAGCTAAACTTAGGTATAAGTAAATCTATTTGCAAGAATACTAAAAATCCAGATCTTCCAACTATTTGCTTTGCAATGCTGTAAAAAACATCCATTCCCAGGGAAAAGAGGGACAATGTGTTTTCCTACATTAAAGAGAGAGCAAATCCAAGACGTCTATGCTTAGGAGGTAACACTCCTGTTAGGAATAGGGCTGTGGATAACTTTTTCAGGCCTGTTTAGTCCATTTTCATCCTCATTTGCCTTCTTGTTCTGAGTCCAAAGACATTTCTGAGAGCAGAGGTAGTTGTCTCAGTGTAAGCAGGGGATTCCAGGTCTTTCACAACATGCAGATGGCCAGAGGGAGTCAAAGAAAGTGTTTGGTTCATTGTAATGTGAATCTGAGCTGGGACTTAAATTCAGGCTGGAGGCTGGTCTCAGCACCACACCAGCAACCTGTGTGTGGATGTCACTGTTCTGTTTGTCCGGTCTCTCTGAGTGTCTGAGGTGTTCAAATAGCTGCCTCAGCCTCTCAGGGACGTTTTGATGCATTTATCTTCTTCCCTGACAAGCCTGTCTCTGTTCTTCAGCGACTGTGGATTTGTGCTCCCCAGTGAACAGAAGAGCTGGGAATGGCTGTTTGGCATCAGTCCCTCACACATACACGCTGGTGCTTGCACACGCTTTTAATTTCTTCTCCCCACTCTGTACACAGAACACAAATAACCGCCGCTGATTCCAGCAAGGAAGTCCTCACGTTCTGGCGACTGTAGCTGTAGGGGAGCCAGTGCTCAATGTGTTAATGATATGTGGGAAAATGACTTGATTTCTTTCTTGGCGATTTCTCTGTATCATGTCTCAAGGGCATGATTTATCTTTGCCGAGGTAACTATCGTTTATGAGCCAGGCCTTGGTTCAGGGCAGGATATCCACGGGGCTGTGCCGCGTAGCCTTAATGGGATAAGTAAGCAGTGGGTTGTATTCCATCAAAGCCCTGTATTGTTTCTTCCTTGTCTCTCATTAAAATGAATAACTGGAATATCTCCTTTGCCACTGTTTCACTCTGAGAGGATTTCTCTCTAATAGATGTCAAACTGGCCCATTAAGAAGTGGGTAATGAAACCTAGGTGGCCCAAGTGAGCTATCAGCATGCAGCCCAGCACAGCCTCTCACCACGTTCAGGCTAAGTGATAAATGCTATTATAACCTCAGCTTGCTACCGCCGTCCGGACACATTAGGACTGAGCAAGCATTTTAAAATAAATTAAGATCACAAATAACTGTGTAAAACACAGGAAGCAAGCCTCATAATTCAGGTGGATGGGCTGCAAGATTAACAGCTCAGGGAAAGCTGGATGGCAGCCCTCTCTGGTTCATTGACTCCGATACCTAATAAAATAACAAGGGAGAGTTTGGGTAGAAGAAGCCAATGCCAGCTATTGTTGACACTGGAGAAATGGGGAATTGGATCATAATTCTTCACCATCCCAGTGCCCCAGAGATGCTCCTTCCTCCTGCAAGGTCTGGGACATACTGCAAAGGTCGGTCTCAGTTGATGAATGGAAGGGGACAAATTGGATCTGGTTTTGCTTCTCAAATATGGCAATGGAAGATACTCAGAATACTGCCCATGATAAGAGTATATATCTTTATAGCCTTAGGTATGCAGAGGTTTTTTTCTGAGGGCTCCAGACTGCTCAGCAGAAGTCATACAGAGGGATCCTGTGTAGAGAACCACAGGGCAGTGAAGCTGGTGGAGCTGACGTTAGTTGTGTGAGAAACTGCTACTAAATGAAGCTTGTATTGAAGTTAATTGCCACCCCCACGTTAATGCTGGGAACCAGATGAGTTTTAATGTGCATACAAGAGCACTTTATCAGAGAAAAGGCTAAGGCAGATGAACCAGTTGCACAGAGCAAGTGTCAACTCATTTATAATCCATTTGGAAATCCCTAAATGGCTGCTCATGATAATCTGGGAGTGCTGTCGCATCAGGAAGATCAGTCTGTGCGTGCCCTCTTCTCATGCTTCTCAAACACCTGCTACTAGCTTGGTATCAGAGAGAAGGCCTGGGTAGACTGATGCTGGTTGAATCCACAGTGGCAGTCATTTTATTATCATTCTGGCTGTGAGGATCTTTCTGGCCTCACTACTGTTTGTGCAGATTTTGCCTGAGCATTGTCAATGCAGACAGTAATTCACTATCAATTCATACAACAATGGAAATAAGAGGTAGTGTTGCCAACAAAGAAACCTTATGGAAGCAACACGGTTCTCTTAGAAACTGGCAATTCTTGTGTTTTTACATTTTCTGAGGGCCTGTTGGAGCGGAGGAAGGGCAGATAGATGAAGCTCTTTAGTTAGTCTCTGCTAAATATCCTTGGTTTTCATCTTGCAGATCATCAAGCTCGAAAAAAATGGGAATGGCTACCACTACATTCTGGCAAATTTGGTGAGTTGGCCTCATTGGCATTTTTTGGTTTTTGGTTTTTTTTTTTTGCTATCTTGTATTTTGTAAAGCACTATATTTATAGTTACTGAGCTGGACAACTTTTTTCTCATCCACCTTTTAGTTGAAAAAAATACCAAAGTCCCTTCAGTATTCTCCTCGTGGGGTTCTAGCTAGTTTTAACCCTATTTCAGTATGTGCCCACCGGGTGAAGTGTTTCACAGCCATCCTGAGAGCCCCACTAAGGGCAGACTTACTAATGATGATGCACCAAGATCCCTCTGACCTTCCAGTAAAAATAAAATATGTGCCTATTCTGCAACTTGGTGCTAAATCAAATTTGACTGTCATGGTTCTAAGGAATTAATTTGATGTAAAGATTGCTTTAAGGAAAGGATTCTGCCTTTAATGCAGGGAGTCGCTGCCTGAGGACAGAGCAGTGTTGGGCAGTGGCAGGGCCATCGTTCTGGAGCAATATGCTGTCCTCTCCTAGGAGGCTGGAGAATTTCTCTGCCTCGGGAGGTTTGGGAAGAGGTAAGAGAGAGAGGAAGAGCCTCAATCCATAGGGCATCTGGAAGTTCTCCGCAGCAGAGCTCCTACCCTCTCCTCCCCAGGGGTGTTCGTCCACCCAGGGGGATGCACATCAGAGGATGGGCTGGTGTCAGCAGCCTGGGGCTGGGGCTGCTCCCCCAGGACCCCTGTGTCCCTGCACTGGAGCCGTTCATCCCTCCCACAGCTGCATCTGTGAGGCAGCACGTCAGGCCTGGGGTATTTAAACTTTAAACTACCAATTAGTCAAGCAGTTGCTGCCGTTCTCTTTCTCTCAGTCCCAAGATAACTCTGTAATTTACAAGACAAAAATGGCCACATAATTACCCCGCAGTGCCCTGATACTGACCCTGCACTTCTGCGCTGGGCGCCTACCATGTAATTACAAAGTTAAAAATGTGACGTTGTGCAGGGGGAGACATGCAAACTACAGAGCAGCCAATAACTTTGGTTGCTAATTTTAAAAAAAAATTATTATTTGCTGTAACCCAGGTCCTGGTCCTCAGATGTTTATGAAAGTCCCTTCATTAAAGTTAAGCAGGGAAGCTATCGGGAGTAGATGGAAGTGTGGGTGTCTGTGTGCTTTTATGTATATCCATGCCGAGGGCTAAATGAGAATGATATCACCTCTTCTCTCTGTACAGTTTCATAAGGATAAATACATTAAAGGCATGAGGTGGTCTAAGACTCAGGTGTTGGGAGTTTTGAAGGACGTTTCCCTCTGTCTTACGAGACAACAGTCTCCCACTTCCAGGCTGAGAAAGCACGCTTTTCCTATCTTTGTTTTCTTAGCATTTGCACAAATGCTGAGAGGACAGAGCTGGCTTGAAGAGGCTGCACACTCAGCCAACAGGGGTTATAAATAATTAACTCAGAGCAAAAGGCTTTTCATTTCCCCAGCCCCTCTGCATGGAGATTCTGCCTCGTAGTTGCAGCTCAGGGGAGGGTGCTTTGGTTCCCTGGGACCCACACAGTATGATGGGACCACCAGAATCCACTATTAGTAGCTGTGCTTTTCAAGCAGCTTTGATTTGGGGGGAGAAGAAGAGTGAAAGAAATTCAAGCTCTTCCCTTTGGTCTTTCCTGCTCCTCAAAACCTAGCATTGTACAACAGCCAAACTACAGAGAGGAATATTAAAAAAAAAAAAAAAAAAAAAAAGGGAGTAGGGGATAACCAGACAACATGGGAAAACTATTTTTAAAAAAATGACTAGCACCCCTCAGGGTTAAGAAGGCCTTTTCCAGGGCAGAACAAGCTTTGTGATTCTGCTGTGCGCATGGACAGGTTCAGGCACCAGAAGCCAAATCGGTTTCTGTGATGTGCTGCATCCACACTAGAGCTACTCGCTGATCTGTTCAGCAAGGAGAATGGCAAAAAGACTGTGAAGATCCCATGTTCCTGAGAGCATATGGCAGTGAGGAAGGACGGCAAGCCTCCCTGTGCGGGGTTGGGTGGGGATGTTATAAGAGATTGGCAGAATGTGAGAAGTCAGCGTCTGTCAGGGCTAAACCATAGTGTGGATGCTCTGACCTGAGAGATCACAGTAGATTTTACCCTCTCCTAAGGACATCTCATTGCTGGATTAGAGCCTTCAGAGGGTGTAACATGCTGTAATTTATTCTTACTGACTCATAGCAGAAAGACCTTAAACACCCCATATTTTCCCCTGTAGACAAGACCTAATATGACAGGGCATGCATTGCCCCCGCCCCCCCATACCCTCATGTGCACACCTGCACGCCTGAAAAACAGCCCAATTTTGTTGAAGTGGCTCATTTTGGAGTATTGGGTTGTAAGAGAGTAAATTAAGAACTAAAAACTGCAAGTGCCTGAACATTTCCAAACGAGTTATTTTTTGTCCCTTGTGCTGACTGATGAAGTCCTGATTTTAGGAGTCTCATCCTATATGAAGACAAGGCTCCCAGCCCTGGCTGGGACAGGCTCGGCCTTGCACAGGTCAAGTGAGTCCTCAGCTGGTTCATAGCCACCAAGTTACCTGCACTAGCTGGAGCAGGGGGATGAGTTTTCAATACCTGCCTTCAGCAACACTGCCTGACCCTCATGGGCCCTTTCCCATGGGGAAACAGTTATGGAAATGACACACTGGAAGCAAAAACTGGGAAATATTTATGGATAACCCCACTGAAATTCTTATTTTTGGCTATATGCTTGTTCAGAGCTATATTCAGCCAAAAAACAAGCAGCAGCATACTGCTGCCCAGTTACAGCAGCTCCAAACTGGTGTTACATCAGGAACGCAGAACAAGTGAGTTTGCAAGGCAGTACGCAGGCTGAGTAAGGCCCACAGAAATCATCCATGGGCACATTCTGAACACAGAGGGATTCCCTGTCTGGTCACAGACAATCCATGAACAAAGAGGAACTAGCTTGCATTAATCACTGCTTGTTTGCCCAGCGGTTGCTGTCGGGTGAGCTGTAGTAAAGCACCAAGCGGAATCTGACAAGTAGCAGCAAATGAAAGCTAGTATTTCCTAGCAGGAACAGCTTTCTTTTTCAGTGAAATTGCTGTTGCCAAGGTGAGACAATATTTCTGCGTTCACAAACAAAATGAAACCATTCTGCACCTTAGGCCATGGGCAAGTATCCTTCTCCAAATCTGCTATGCCTGTTAAAGACACAACCTGTCTTTTCTGCTCAGCCCTGCCCATGCCACAAAGGTCTGTCTGCAACATCACTGCCAGGGGAAAGGTTCCTGCGGGCATCCCTGCCTCTCCTTGAGGCAAATTTGGTGCCATCTATGGCTTTTGCAAACTCATGAAAACCTGATCCCTTGACCAGTGCCCGTTAGACTTACCCCAATTCGCTTTTACCAGCTGCCAGCCTGGGTATTTGTCAGATGTCCTGGCACTGGGGGGTTACAATCATATTTCTCCCTCTCTCTGTTTCTCTATTTTTCTTTTTGGAACTCGAAGAGGTCTGGCAATTTTAAGAAGTGTTTGTTTTTGTGAGTCTTATTTTTCTAAGCTTTGTTCTCAGTCTTTGAGAGCATCAGTCTAGCAACCACAAAGAGAAAAAACACAGTCAATACTATCAGAGGAACAAGCTTAGAAACTTCTGGGATTCCTTTCTTTTGATGTTACAAGTTTTTTCCCCATAACCTTGGCTTCATGTATCTGTTTGTCCTACGCCAGGGATGTAGGCTGACTACTGTCAGAAGTGGGAGAATATCAGCTCTCTTGGGCACAGGAAAATATCTTAAAATAAGTCACATTCGTGTGACCTGTCTTTAAAAGAAAACTGTGAAAGACAGCTGCCACATACAGTGTTTTAGCCTTTTTTTCTTTCCTGGTGCATTAGTCCAGGTTGTTCTAGCAAATGCTTTCATTTGAATAAACAAGTGTATGAGATTGCTGATGCACAGCATAGCAGGGAAAGGTAAAGATAAAACAGAGTTGATGATCAGAGTTAAGCATTTTTTCCTGTGCCGTTTTACATCAGCACGTGTCAGTGCTGAGTTAGGCCATGGACAGAGTTTCACTTTGCAAGTGGCTGTGGTAGCTTTGGAAGTTACCAGCACAGCAGCTTTGCCAGCAGAGTGGCTTGTGCAGGAGTCAGGCAAAATGTGCTGGTTTGAGTCAGTTCAGCTCTGCTTTAAATATGGCCTCTTTGACTTTTTCTCAAAAAAAAAAATGAAAGGGAGATTTTCAGCACTACAAGAACTGAGATACAGTGACCTGAGACCAACAGCTGGTGCAGACAGCAAAGAAGGGGAACCCTCCTGAATTGGCTGTTGAAATGGATGTCCGCACCCCTGGGCAGCAAGGTTCTCCCAGCACAGGCAGAAATCAGCTCCCCTAAAGCAATGTAGCATGTGTCCATCCTGCAGCATGTGCTGGGGCTGCGTGGGCAGGGTCTGCTGTGCCCGTGCTGGGTCCAAGCCTGGTGCAAGAAGCTGGTATTTGCCACAGCACAAAGTGTGACATGTCAATGGCTCTGCCTCCTGCACCCAGCCCCTGATTCAGCTTGCCTGGAGCTAAAATGTTGCGGTTTTCAGTCTCCCATCACCTTGAAAGCTGCCATGTTTATTTTAATCACCCTCAGTTCTTAATGCTGTCTCCTGCTCCCTGAAGTGTTGCTGACTGAAGGTACAAACAAGGTCAGAAATACTCAGGTTTGCATCACTAGCTGATGGGAAACTCTGTTTTGTGGGAGTTTCCAAAACGATGTGTACAGCATCAGCTTATTGTCCTAGTAAAATCTCAAGACCTGGTCTTGCAAAAATTATATTTTCAGGATTCTAAAATTATGCCCATTAGACCTTTCCTCTTTCTGAGAGGTTGGTGCACGTAGGCTCATGAGAAGACTTGGTTTTCCAGACAGAGGAAGACAATACAATATATCAGTGAAATTTCTGAGGTCTGCGTTTCACTTCCAAAAGCTTTTCTGAGCTGATTCAAAGGTTATCAAGGAGAAGAAACCCTTATAACATTAT